GACGAAAAACACCACAAGAAAAAACGTAAATCAGGCTTGTACCGTATTACCCCAGGCACGCGCCCAGGGGCCTGAACATACAAAATCGGGAAAAATTGGGGGTGGGCGCTTACCCGAGGACCACCCCAAAAAAGATTTTAAAAAGTTGTTTTTGTGATCGTATGATAAGGTCAAATAAAGAAATGCTTTCGTACACTTTGTACACAAACTTATTTCTTGATTTATGCGAGGTTTCAATAAACGTGAGCACTCGGTCAAGAACTGTGGGAACACTAAGACAAGATTAAAACTTGTTTTATGTCAGCAAATGAAGTTGTATGGCTACAAAGTATGGTAAGTATTGTAATCAATGCACGATTACCTTTTTAGTAACCGTGAACAGTGCAAGTCGAAACGGCCAGGAAAAACTACCGCTTGTAATCCATGATGGCGATGACCTCATTAGCATAATTTTGTTCACGCACGTATTGATACATCGCATCGTAATTCCTGAAGAATAGCAGACAGGGTTATGAAACAAATAAACCTTTTATTACTGATGTGAAATGTTTATTGTGAATACATAAACATATCCAAATGGCGATACATAAAAAACAGACTGAAAATAAACTCTGGTTGACCTCATTAACATGATTTATTCACGCACCCACAATGATGCAACAAGTTCCCATCGTCGGCTATCCTCATTATGGTTATCGTAATGGACTTGAGGTCGGCAAAATGTTTTTTCTTCAATGACAGAAAAATAATCCACATGACCGTAATGCCATAGCTGTGATGAAGGATGGAAAGAAAGTAGCAAGTTTACGACGTGATGTCACAAAAGTGCTAGCTCCTGTTATGGATTCACAGTTAGCGAAATGCTACGTTTTGAAACCAAAGCTAATTGCTTCAAACCAATCACCAAGGTATGGATTATTGCGATATTGCAATATTGGATTCATCGTGAATGAAGAGAAGCAGAACATGTGCGCTGCATGGTTCGTCTTACGTTCCAATGAGTTTTTACGTAAAAACACAAACAAAACGGCCCTTTTCAGGGCCACCACACACACCAACAAGAGAACTACCGTAACAAACACACTATTTAAATAAATCAAGCGCGTTCGTTTTTGACAAAACTTTATTGTTGACCCCGTTCTTGGCTAAAAATCACCCTGGGCGTTTAACCGAGGATGTCCCCAACATGTAACTTTTGTGAAAACAGGGAGGGGGGCGTGCCCGGGGTTAATACGGTAATTACTCGAACGCAATATTGATCACTGTAAAAGTGGATAAATTCGATTCGTCATCAAATTCAAAATTCAAACGATCTCGTTGAATTCAATCAAAAATAAACTTGATGTTTAGAAAGACAAAAACAACAACATATTAGAGTGCAAAAAAAGTTAGCATCAAAGAACGAGAAATGCATGTGGGAAAGCAATGAGTGAACTCAAGGAAAATTATGCTGAGTGAGAACAAGCCATATACCCGCGGAGTACCCGCTAAAACATCAAGAAAATGTGCCATTTCAATGGGCACCCTTACAAATAATGTCTGCGATTGTGTGAACATGATAACGTGCAAACAAGGAACAGAGCTCGTGATCCACCCAGGAAACTTAGCGATGACACAGTTAGATGTATCCGGCTATTGAAAACAGAGACTCCTTCGACCTCATATGAGCAGGTTCATGTGGATGTTTCATTTTCAACTATTACCAACAACACTATGGTAATAAAGACTTTCCGTTTTCGACATTGTGAAATTCTTTTGTTTTTATGTAGAAAAATACAATATTTTTACCAAGTAAAATCATATTTATTAATGTTATTGTTCATACATGAGTTGTCGAACACACTACATAGTTTGTAATTTCATCCAGCTCTTTTCAGTAACAATTCAAAACAAATAAAAGACACAAATATATATAATATAGCAAATTATTTTTTTCTGTAATATTCGTGTGTAATCAGTAATTATGAAAATAATTTATGGGTACATATGTAATACAGTTCGTTATGAATTGTTCTTAATATAAATTTCTGATCAGTTTTTTTTTCAGGGTTTTCCTCCCAGAAAAGACAAAAGAATTTCATAATGTCGGGAACGGGAAGTCTTTTTTTTTATTATTATTTATTGGGAACGGAAAGTCTTTATCGTAGTGCTTCGCCTCGGTTGACAATGAGCTCTTCGGTCGATAAAACTGTATGTCCACCTCTGTTCGGTGAACATGTGTATTATTATACCGAATAAATCTTAAAACAGAAATTGTGGCACTCAATCATGGCAATCTTCCAGGTCATCGTTAGAAAGATTTTTGAAGGCAAATTCAATCTCCACTCAAGGCTATCCTGAAGGATTGCAGGAAATTGACCCTTACCGATTCATATTTATGAATTAATCGGGATTCAGGTACCATAGTGTTTGTAACAGGAAAAAAAACGCTTTCGCGTGGGTTTTTTCATGCAAACATTGTGAATGGTTCCCCGACACTGATTCCTTTTTAACTTTCAATTTTTCCTCCAAGACGTGCCAAACCCTGCTCAAGACCGGAGACGTCGTCGAGATGCAGGTGCGATTCCTCTTCGCAACGCGTTCTATTTATTTCCAACGCGTGTGGTCGGCGCCTTTGATTGCGTTTATTTTGTTCTTTTATTCACGTAATCTATCACTGGTAGCGTTTGTTTTGTCGTGTCTCACAATTTAATGTACAAGCTGACTTTGTTTTAGCTGTAAATGAACTACGTTTAGCTCATGGAAGTATTTCGCCCAGAGTTTCGCAAAACGGAATAGCCTGCAAAATTTGAATCCTTTATTATATAACGAGCCGCCTAGTTAAAAAACCCAATCTCCATTG